TTTAGGGTGAGAGTGCATGGGGGCGGCTGGGGTTTAGAACGGGAAGGGGTTGTGTTTGGGACGATGGTATATAGTGGGGAATGTGGGGTTTGGTTTGGGGGCGTGGGGTGTGATGGAGAGTTTATATATGTATTGAGGGTTTAGATCCTGGCCGTTGGATCAAGTGAGATCTATGGCCAGGATCTATTCACTTAGGCAAGACGGTGTCGTTTGGGTGTGATGGTGGGTGAGACCGGGTAAGGGGCATGGACCGGGTCATGTTAACGGGTTTAGAGGAGGGCCTGTATCCGTTGGATCAATGGGGTTGGACGGCTTAGATCATCTTGCCTGAAACGGCGTCGTTTGGGTAAATGAGCAGTCTGATCAAGACCGTCCATTTGAATCAGATCAACGGTTCCAATAGGGATACTGATACGACGTCGTTTGGGGTCCGTACTTGGGCAGGCCTGGCTTGGACTGGGTCTTGCATTGGCTTTGGGCCTTATTTGGGGCCCAATCCGATTTCTTCACTTTTTTTTTTTCTGATTTTAAAATACAACTAAATTAAAATGAATTTTAAACACCCATTAATCAACACCTAACCAATTATCACACACATATTAATTTTTTTTTTAAAAATGGTTAAATCACAGCCTAGAACAAAAGCTGCATATTTTTGTGAATTTTCTTTTAAAAACCGAATTACGGCCCGATTACACACGACATACTTATTTTGTATTTTTGTTTGATAAGATTCAATGAAAACAAAAATGGATAGAAACACAAAGGACTACCAGCACCTGTCACGGAAAATCGAAAAATTGTACAGCGAGGTCATTTGTCACTATTTTTGTTTTCTTTTGGAGTGATTGTCCGTGAAGCAAAAATCACGTGCTTACAGCTAGTTCCCTGAGAAAATCGATCCCAACCTTAATCGGGTAAAAGCTACTTCGACCTCTCTCGCTACTCAATAGTAGTTCCCTGTACTACTATTGATCAATGAAGGATCAAGCCAGATGCCATCTCCTGATGACAACTAGCCAAGTAAGTGTAAGAACGAGTAAGATAGATGAACAAAGGCATGACTCACCATCGTTTTAGAACAGGAAAATTATCACATACTAACTCATAAGATTTCCTCCTCTAAATGACAAACTAAAAGAGTGTGATTAAAGCAAAAATTATTTCTCATAGTTTTGAATTTTGATGGCCAAAAATATAAGCAGACTCAGGATTTAAAGATGGTGAGTACACATAAACAACTGTTCAACTAATACTCTTATCGGACTTTTGATCTTAAAAATTTCAAATAAAATATATGACTCATTTCAATATATATACATTTAAAATTTTTACCGAAATTAACGATCCACCTCGGGCCAAAAATTAACTTAACACACCAAGGAATCGTTTGGTAGGGTGCATAAGAATAATGTTGAATATGGTGTATTAGTAATGTTGGTATTAATTATGCTGACATATTTCTTATCCATTATTTGGTTTGATGTATTAAAACATTACACAATTTCTAAAAGAATTACGTGTTTACAAAAATACCCTCAAAACCAGTCCATCACTCTAACTTTTTAAAAGAGACATATTTTGAGAAATGTTTTTATATGAAATAGTTTTAAAAAAATTATTTGATTTGTCTACATATATTGTAATATAGAACTAAATATTTATTTATAAAAAAGGAATATGTTAAGTATTTATTTATTTACTAGAGCTATAATTTTATTTCTCACTACTTGGATTATTTTAAACTTGCATTTAATATAATAACTAACATATTTTAATCAAGCATAAATTTTGAAGGATAATTTTGTCTTTAACTAAGCTAATGCATACACTAAAACCCATTGCATTGCTAATATCATGATTTTCTATGCATTAGTTATGCATAGAATAATACCAAATAAAATATATAACTAATACTTGCATAATTAATGTATAGATTCAAAATATCTACTAAACATAATATTATTAATACATAAAATTAATACATGCATTATTTTATCTAACTCATCTTACCAGACCTTTGAGGGATATTATTTCTTCAATTCCATACCAATGTTTAAAAATCACCCGACGACAATATAGAAAAAAGAAAAAAGGTGTTCCACGTGAAGTCATCCAAGGACTTGTGTTAGCTCCGAAAAGTATTGTCGTCCTTGATACATGCAAATAATTTATGGTAATTCTTGTTTTCTAGCTTTGGGTAGATGACCACTGGGGGCCAAATTCATTACTCTAATAATTCTTGTCTTTGCTCTCTCACCTCAGATAACCCCAGACACCATCTCTTGCACCTACCACACTGTTTCCAATCTTTCTTCTCTGAACAAAAAAAAATCCAATTTTGAACCAAGAAAACTATGGATCTGCCACCAGAAGAGCTTCAACACTTAAGCTTACCATCAATTTTGAAGGAATCAATTGCCATACCAAAGAGATCTCCACAAACTTTTTACCGTATTACTCTCAGCTTAATCTTGCCGCTCTCTTTTGCTATCTTGGCTCATTCCCTTTTCTCTCATCCAATTCTTGATCAGCTCCATGAAAACCCAAAATCCTCTCACGCTTCTCAATGGACCAAACTCCTCTTCTTCCAATTCTGCTACTTGGTTTTCCTCTTGGCTTTTTCTCTCCTTTCAACTGCTGCTGTTGTTTTCACTGTCGCCTCACTTTACACTTCAAAGCAAGTATCTTTCTCCTCTATAATCACTGCTATTCCTAGCATCTTACGACGTCTGTTCATAACTTTCATATGGGTTTTACTCTCTATGCTTGTTTACAACGCTGTTTTGTCCTTTTTCATTGTGCTCATGTTAATTGTCTTTGAGAGCAAGAACAGTGTAACTCTGTTTCTCATCTCTGTTTTTGTGCTCTCTGTTTTGTTCCTCATAGTGCATGTTTATTTAAGTGCCTTATGGCATCTTGCTAGTGTTGTTACTGTTCTTGAACCAATCCAAGGGGTTACTGCTTTAAAGAAAAGTTATGAATTATTAAAGGGAAAGATGAGGATTGCAGCTGTAATGGTTTTAGGGTATTTGGTGATTTTTGGTCTAATTAGCAGTGGTTTTAGTGCAATTGTTGTAGATGGTGGTGCACATGAGGAACATGAGGCTGGTTACAGTCTATTTGCTAGGATTTTGATTGGAGGGATCTTGATTGGTGTTCTTGTGGTTGTGATTTTGGTGGGGCTTTTGGTTCAAAGCTTGTTTTACTATGTGTGTAAGAGTTATCATAATGAAAGGATTGATAAGAGTGCTTTGTATAGTCATCTTGGTGGGTATTTGGGTGAGTATTATGAGCCTCTCAAAGGGAACATGCAAATTGATGATAGCTTGGAGGTGGAGATGAAAGGTGGAGAAACTGCTTGATTTATGAGTTTGTCATGGTGTTGAGATAGAGCATATTTAATAAGTTTCAGCACTTCTTTTTCTTGCATCTTTAATCTTATGTGTTTTGTAATGAAATGAAGAAGAAGTAAAATTTGTATAATGAGACACTATCCGTGTATATAGCTTAAATTGAGAGTTTTGTTTGTGTTCTTTCATTTTAAGTTTATTCATCATTTGATTAATCATAACTATAGCCTGAAGGGAAGCAACAGTAAAATTGTGTAAATTGTGTTCGTTGACCTATAGATTGGGGGTTCGAGCAGCGGAAGCAGCAGTCAATATTATACCCACTCCCCGTTTTTTTCTCTTTGTGAATATGAAATGCTTTGTAGACGTGAATGTACTCTTTATGCCTACTATAACTTCTTTCTGCTTAACTCAAGTAGATGAAATCTTTGGGTATGTTAAACTTGGGGTTTGCTGCAGGGGGTTCTTTATTCCCTTAATCTTGATTTGCGCTGAATGTTTGTCTACTTTGTTACACGTGATTTTGAATAAGGCGTTGGTGAAATATACTGCTTCTTGTCGGCAATTTCTTTTGACATAGAGAATTTGAGAAGGATCACAGGTATTACTACTATGTAAATATTGATTTCTATCGTTATGCTCTATCATGTTTAAAAGGCCAAATATTTTTTGGTCTTAGAAATCCCAAGCCTATTTTACCTTTAGTCGTGGTCGTGCCGATGAAATGAGGATGGAACAACATCAGCCCCTCGGGCTATATCGAATCTCATACTAGGTACCCGTGCTCACTAGGGGTGTACAAACTCCGGGAGGGCACCCTTACGGCCCAAGCGCAATAACAAATCATCTTGTGGCATAATGAATATATCACTCACTCAGGGTATCCGCGCTCACTAGGGGTGTACAGACTCCGGGAGGGGCCCCTTACGGCCCAAGCGCAATATCAAGCAACCTCGTGGCATATTCAATAGGCTATCGGCCTCATATCAAGCCACCTTGTGGTGTACAACTCAGGCCCTAGGCCTCATAATAATAAATCAGTGTATCACAACTGTGGCGTGCAGCCCGACCCAAAAGTATTCTCAAAACATAGGTAAGGCCTTACTCATTCAAAAATCTCTAAAAGCCACTCGGCACAATAAAATATGATGCTCAGCCCAAAATATCATTTAAAGTATTAAAACAGAGTAAACATGGATGAGTTATGAAAACACTAGAATATAACATGACTGAGTACAAATATAAAAATCAAAACAGTGAGGAAAAAGCAGTAAAAATCCCCTAAGGGTCCAAAACAGTTGGCACGAGGCCCAAATATGGCATTCAGCCCAAAACATGATGATAGCAAACAGTTTTCAATCAAATAAGCAGTAAAACAGTCATTCGGGATAGACTAAGTCACAATCCCCAATGGTGCACGACCCCACGACCGCCATCCAGCGTGTGCGTCACCTCAAAGTAGTACAATGATGTGAAGTTCGGGGTTTCATACCCTCAGGACACATATTTACAATCATTACTTACCTCTATCCGGTACAAACTCTAGCCCGCGATGCCTTTGCCCTCTCGAATCGACCTCCGAATGCTCCAAATCTAACCAAAATCAGTACATAACTATTAAAATATGCTAAGGGAACAAAGTCCACTCAAAAATATCCAATTTACATCAAAAATCCCGAAATTGCTCAAACCCGACCCCTAGGCCCACGTCTCGGAATTCGATACTTTTAATTGCTAGCTAAATTCGTTTGGAGAATAATTACTCTACAAAATTTGTTTGGCTATACAGTGCTTAAAGTTAAAAGCAAATTGGTCCTAATTGTTCTTTTAACAAGTTAGTTCCTCTAAATCAATGTCCTACTTTGGAGAGCATAATATGGGAAAAATATTCTCTACCTAATGGACATGGCCAAAAGTGGACGAACATTTGTAGTAAATTTTATCTTGTGACGCTATATCAAAGGTGGATTTAGTAGATGCAATTAAATTTTTGTATTTAACTCGAATTATTTATAGATATACAAATAAAAGATGTTACATATATTATGATTAATTTATATTTATTCTAAACCATCGACTCTAAATCTTGGCCTATATTTCATTTGGGTAGTTCACAGGAAACATAAGTTAATGCACATAGTATACTGTTAAAATAATATGGGTACCTATTTTCTCAAAGTAAATCAAAGTTGTTCGGCTATGATATTGTAGGGATTTGATTATTGATGCATGCTATCACGTTGTTAACGTCCAACTCTAGGACCCATTCCTAATGACAACGGGCATTAAATATCTATAGGATCTTAAATTGTGAAGCAATAATTGGTTGGCCTTTAATGTTAACGTAATTCTAGCTAGCAAATTCTTTATACCTGTAGTGGTCTTCCTCCCTATCCTTCTCTTCCCTATATATTAGCTGTCATTTTGTTATAGTGAGTTACCCTCGGCTAACTCATGAAAACAAAACGCATAAAGTTTTGGTAAATATTTACCACATTGAAATGTCTACACTAAATCAATATAATTTATCATAATATAGTGCATTTATATATTNGGTTGTAGAGTGGTGGTACCGGGTTATTTACATTTAGTATTTTTGACGCGGATCATAAACTTATGTCATTATATGTAAAAGTAAACTAAAATTACAAAAACTATGAATCCTTAATTTTAAACGTACAAGGGTTTATACTAAGAACCTTAAAGATTGAACTCATAGAACTTAAATTCTAACTCCGCCTTTGTATAAAATTGCCATGACCCGGAATTCCCACCATCGGTACTATGATAGCATCTAGCATCACACTTACTAGGCAAGCCAACGTTAGAGTATTACTAACCAATTTCCTTTGAGTTTCAGTGATTTAAAATCATACAAGTTAAAATGAGTAGAAATAAATGCGGAAGTAAGTAAATAGCCTTTTGTCTATATTCTATTGCCAATATTATTGCCATTACCACCCAGAATTCGGTGTCAAAATCCACGAACATACTATGATTTTCTACAAACATCGATCTGAAAGAAATTACAACTGTTTTGGAAATAAAGAAAACAATAATATAGAGATGTAGAAGGGGACGTCAGGGCATGCGGACACCAACAGGACTACCTTGAGTCTCCTAGTTAAAATATCTTCAATCGACCTCTCAATCAGCCAATACCTGCTCCAAAATCTACACAGAAAGTGCAGAGTGCAGTATCAGTACAACCGACTCCATGTACTGGTAAGTGCCAAGCCTAACCTCGACGAGGTAGTGGCGACGCTATGGTGGGGCAATTACAATATAACCTGCATACAGTGTATAGTAAAAGCAAAAAGAAGAACAGAATAAAATAAAATAGTAACTTGCAAGGAAGAAATACAGAATTCAAGTATCTCATCAGTACCCGTTATAACCAATCCTTAAGTGAAACGCAAAACTACAGAATAACTTGCACAACAGAAGAAATATACATAAACACATAAATTTATGCGGCGCGCATTCTGATCCCACCTTATAATCAGTATCAATATGAACATTCACTCTTATTACTCCATATCAATTCACCTTTATTCCTCCTGTTGCGGCGTGCAACCCGATCCCACCGTACAATAGCATTTCTCCCTTATTTCTCCTTAATATATCACCCTTATTCCTCCTGTTGCGGCGCACAACCCGATCCCACCATATAATAGCATTTCACCTTTATTCCTCCTCAATATATCACCCTTATTACTCATGTTGCGACGTGCAACCCGATCACACCATATCAGTACCAATCACACAATGAGAACATGAATTTCACAATTTAGCTCAAAACTCTCCACAATATTTAAACCTCAAACCAAAGCAAACGGAAAGCTGTACAATTATGAAACTTCACTCAAATAATACTACTCAGCGAAACCAAACCAAAATATACCATAAAACACCAATAAACCAACTTAAGCCAATAATATGAGACAATGAAACTATGTGATAGCTAATACCTTCACCAATAAAAAAAAAATCTGACAAGTAGCAATTAAGCATGGAAATACCAGTGAAGCATGTAGCAGTTACAGTAGGAAACAATATATTAAACAGTAAGAAAACAGGCAAAATAGATAAGTTGGCGGCACATAGGTACTCCTCACCTCACCTATACGCCACATACATGGATTTACACATAGCAATTAAGTCGGGGATCCCTAATCCCTCGAGTCACAGTTAGACGCAATACTTACCTCGCTCTAAGGCCAAACTCAAAGCTCAACCACCGCTTTTTCCTTCACACAAGCCTACGAACCAATATAATCTATCAATTCACCAACCAAACAATTTAATTTAATCCTTAGGAACTACCTACGATTGCAAGGAATTCAATGTAGGCCATTTGTGAAAAAGTCAACACCCGGGCCCGCTTAGTCCAAACTCGAAATTCGGACCAAAACCCGATTACCCATTCACCCCCGAGCCCAGATGTATAATTGGTTTTGGAATTCGACCTCAATTTGAGGTCTAAATCCCCAAATTTTGAAATCCCTAATTTCTACCCAAAAATCCTCAATTCCATCATGAAAACCTTAGATTCTAGGTTGAAATCTTGTAAAATGAAGTGAAAGATTGGAATAAGCTAGTTAAGAATCACTTACCTATGATTTAGGGAAGAAGGAGTCTTTGAAAAATCGCTTATTGTGTTTAGGTTTTGAAAAATTGAAGAATGAATGAAAAATCCCATCCAAAATCATTTTGACCAGTTGCAGGTATCGTATTAGCGATGCGAACTTCCCTTCGCAAATGCGAAGACTTTCCTGGGCCTGCTTACATCGCAAATGCGAACAATTGTTCGCAAATGCGGCCAGTGTTGATCGCAATTACGTTCCTGAGCTTCGCAATTTCGAAAGTCCCCTCCTAGCCCCACTGCTCGCAAATGCGACGATTCTTCGCAAATGCAGGCTCGCATATGTGAGCTAGCAGACCTGAAACATACCAGCAAAATTTTCTAAGTTCAAATCACTCCGTAGCCTATCCGAAATTCATCCAAGCCCTTGGGGCTCCAAACCAAACATGCACACAAGTCTTAAAACATCATACGAACTTGCTCGTGCAATCAAATCGCCAAAATAACACCTAAAACTACAAATTTAGCACCAAATCACATGAAATTCTTAAGAACACTTTGAAATTCCTATTTTCACCACCGGACGTCCGAATCACGTCAAAT